AAATGTTTAAAAATATTCACATCGTAATAGAGCTTGTAATCTTTTCTCATTTAAAAATTTAAAATTTAAAAGCTTTTTAGCTGTAAATATTTAAGCGGGTAGAAGATTTTACAGTCATCACGAGAAGTTCCTTCATTATAAGACGACGAATACCAATTTTGTAGACCACGGTCTCTTGGCCTATTAAGCAATCGCGTTGAACGAATATCTTACGATTGCACCAGCAAAGATCTTGAGAGGCTCTCGAACGCCCTCGACGAAAATGTCAAGGCGAGGTGGAGCTCGGTAGATAATTTGATCTAATGGGAAATACGAAGAAATTCTCAAGGAGATTGATGACTCTCTAGTTCAGACAACATTCGAGCAATTACATTCGAGTAATACATTTCTAGAAAAAGAGGAGGACGTTAATGCGTTCGTTGCGTGATTTTAACAATTTTCTCACTACAATTACGTGGCCCGCTTATTTCATCGTATACCTTTTTTAATATTTATTAGTTTTCCTTCTTCTTTCAAGTTTGTTCAAGAGACACTGTCGTCGAATCGTTTAAATCCCTCGACAGTGTCAATATCTTTCAAATCTTCGATACACTCAGTATCATTCACTTTCATCTCTTTCGAAACGGCCGTCGTTTTACAGTCGTCGCATTCACTTTCCGTGGTAGTTCCTACGATTTTCTGAGCATCGAGCGCGTATTTCTCGGTACTCGCGTAATCTTCATCTGCGTTTGATTTATGATTAGCTGGAACGGTGGTACTGTCATCCGGGTTCTCGTTTTTCTTTAATTCCGCAGGGTCGTGCGTTTTTTGGAGTTGTTCCACTTCGTCCTTGTCGTCGAGATGAGTCTCTTGATACCGGGTTGTGGCGAAACTGGATCCTTCGTTGTTGATGAATTTTGATTGTTCCACGGCTAAATGTTTGGCTATGGTTTCCAGAGGCGACCATACTTTATCCACGAATTGTTGTCGTTCTTCTGGTGCCATGGATTCCGATTTATGAATAATGTCATATCTGTAATAAATATTACCTCATCTTTATGGCGCTATTAAAATTTTATAGAATTTGATAAAAACAATTATGTAAAATAATAATTGAAGATAGAATAATTTCCTGTTTAAATTGTTCGACTAATAACTACAACAATTTTATTTAGAATAATTATTATTTGTACATCGCAACTTCTAAGATTTTATTTTCAGTGTCTAACAGCAGATTGATACTTTCTTTGATTAAGAGTTAAACTTGACATGCTATGATTCTTTTTCTATTTACTCGAAAATAAATTTTTATACGAAATGTTTCTTTTGTTGAACATTTTAGCTTTTGGAATAACTAAGAATAAAGACAATCCCGTTTCCAAGCTGTGCACTTCATTAGGCGATTGTACAAGGTTCGTTAGAGAGAATTTTTGACAAATGATTTCCAAATCGATCCTTTATACCTTGTATTTAATCGATGACATTTCACGTGATCGTCCCTAACTAGTCATCGAACAGTTTCATTCGATTTTTACACCTATGTCGCAGGTTCGGTGAAAGTTCTCCGCGAGTGTCTAACGATCTCCCCAGCGATTCTTCAGATAAATCTAACGTGATCGCCATTACAACGATTCCACGATTCGCATCGGTCGATACGGTTACGAGGAAATCGCGTTTCGCCGATTCTGAATAAATCTTGCGTTCGCGAAAGCGATTCTAGATGCTTACGTAAGCGGAATTGTCTTCGACAAAGAGGCACGTAGGCGAGAAATTTGCATGCGAAAACTTCTTTACGTTATCGTTGAGCTCGAGATATGTAAATTTGGTTTTAGGTTAATTATGTTAGGTTAATTTATGTTTTAGGTTGTATCTTTTGTCAAAATAGAATCGTGATTTATTTTCCAATTTTTTAGGAAAGACATCGCGTTTCAGAGAACAGTATAAGAAGATTCTTCTTTCTAGTTGAAGAGATATATTTTAATGCAGACGAGAGATCATGGAGTACCACCAATTATCCTTGAACTTAAAAAAATTTATTAAAAGTCAGAGGCACGGTCGAATTTGAAATGACCCGAAGGAATGTGACATTTAAGTGTTTTGGAATTTTACCTGCTCATTTTGTTCTTTTTTCTCGGGTACAGATTCAAGTGAAATATCATCTGCTGTCTCTCTTCCTCGTCTGTCATTGCTTGCGCAGGCAAGGACTGCGGGGGTGGAGAATAAAACTTCGGTCCTCTGTTGTACTGAATCGGTCGTCTCAACTCGTAGTCGTCCATAACCGTTTGTTTCGGTCGATTTCCTTTTTTATTTTGCTCGGCAATGTCGGTGATGGGATAAATGTCCAACATGACACTGAACGGCTGTGGTTTTCGTTTCTTCGCGTAATTACTCGGATAGGGTATTGGATTTTCGTACATGGATTCCATCGACGTTGGTTTGTAATAACTTGACGGCCTCCCGTAGGCATCATAGTTGTACCTGTGAAGGCCCATCGGTGAAAATCTGAAAAATCGCGTATATAATTCATCTCGTATTTGAGAAAGATTTGGGTCCTTTGAATGAAAATTTAATTCTTATTTATAGTAGCTTCTATCAAAGAAATTTTATATGATGTATTTAAATCCACGCCCAATGACAATTTTATTATCACATTTAAAATATTCAGCAAATAGATTTTTCAATATATACTGCGCATGGTTGGAGAAATAGACTGGCTAGAAACAAAAGACATATTAATTTACAAGTATGCAAATAACCAATATATAAAAGTCTCCAACTAATCAAATGATTTTATTATATAGAACTCTTTCCGCTAAGCCTGACTTTCTAACCATCAACAATGCACACATTCGTTTCCTACAGACCTGACGTTAGACGTGGCCAGCAAATTCACGTCAGCCGGATGTTTCGGCTTGTACTGGTAAAACGGATCTTCGTTCAACGTGTAAGAGCCTTCATCCTCTTCCGATCTATCGCTGTTGGACATCATCTCCCCTGCGCCAGGGTATAAATCGTATTTCTTCGGGTTCACGTACACGCCAGTGAACTTGATGCCTCTGTTCGACAAGTCGGCGTCGTTGGTCAGGTACTTGATGATATCTTGAATGTTTCTAGAGGCGTGCGAGTATCTGTACTGAGTGAGTTGAGGGTATCGTGGTCGTTTGAAGGCAGTCGGATGCGGTGTCTTCAGTTCCCAATGAAAGGGGGCTGGTCGATTCTCCTCCGAACTCTCGTCTTCTTCCAACTCTGGATGCTTGTGCCTGTATTCAAGCACAGTACTTTCAGATAATTTTCGAGTCAGTTTCGTCATTACCAAAGATGTACATCAGGCGAGATGTGGAGCGAATGCGAACGAACGAAATTGAAATTTATTCATTAACAATGTGCATTAAGTAAGAACAGAGTGTGTGAATGATAACAGAGTTATGCTCGAAGTGAAAATGAAGTGTTTTCTTTCTCGAAGAGTAGAAAGTGTTTCTCGAGGATTTACATACTCGTAGGTTGACTTATTACCGGCTTCAAACACCGTCAGGGAACATTGTGTATTGATATAACGGAACTGAGATAATCAATTCATGTAAATTTCCATCGAACATGTGTCACACGTGTGCATAACGTTACAGAGGGGACTCATTAGCTTTTGAACGAAGGAAGGAACACGACGAATATAATTAATTGGCGGTTGAAACCCAGTAATGGATTTTGCAACCGTTTCATAACAGCTTATGCATTAATATTATAATTTCCTTTTATCGTGTAAGAATCTCCGTGACTTCGTGGTTGAAGATTGAAGAAACGCATCTCTGTATAAATCACTCTCATAAATCATTTGTGACGTCTTCAATAACTCGAGAAATTGTAATGCTTTATTGCGTGTTTATGTCGTGTTATAAGAGAGATCTTTTCGATCTGGAAAAGAGTCAAACGACGACTCACCTTTGTCTCACACGATAAACAATCGCATGATTATCGAACAACTGTTTCCCTTCTGCCGGCTCGTCCATCTTGTTCTCCGCGGATTTCAGTACTCTTCTCCTCAGTTTGAAGTTATCCAAGTTCTGCGACTTAAACTCTGCGTCAGCCGCTTTCTGATCGGATGTTTCATCGTACGGGAACAGATTCCCATCATTGTCTAAACGATCTTGAATGTAAATGGAACTGGTTCTATTCACCTCTGGCGAAACAGTCGAGTTGAACAACTTTTTTGTAAAGTTCGAAGGTTTCCTAAGAGCATTTTGCAAGATGTACATATGCTTCGTCTCCTGGTTCAATTTGCTGTTCACCGACGAGGCCGACGAGAAGTCGTACAAGAATATTCCAATCTGCGGGACAGAGAATGGAATTACTTTTCCTCGAGATTAGCTCAACACTTCGTTTCAATTAATTCCTTCGCTGGATTTCCTCTAAATTTCCTCAAACTTGAAAGTTATATTTTTGTTCAAAAGAAAATATTTGGACTGGAAGGAAAAACAAATTTCTCGCGACTAATCTATATTAAGTTTAAATTTTGTCTAGTGGAATATAGAAGATTTTCGTGGTACGCTATAAAATCGTTCCAACCTTTGACTTTGGAGAGAAAAAAGTCAAATTTAACAAAAAAGTTAAATTTCAGCTAATCAGTTTAATTGTGTTTCGAGAAATTTTTATTAGATCTTTTCCAACGTAAATGATATTTGAAAGTATGCTTCGCGATTCGGGGCGTTGCTGGCAAGAGGCCGCGCTGATTTCGTTCATTCATTAAGCCTAAATGCAACCCGTTCTCGCGGAGGCGCGCGTTAATTCGTGTCAAAACACAGTTAACGCTCTATATGTGAAGCACGCAGAAATATTCCTCGCGCTTGGCTCGCCATGCATGCGAATCCACCGAGATTCACGGTGAAATTGTGATTTTTA